ATAATGGATAACAATTTATAGTGAGCTTGATGTCGCATTTTTTACAATAGAAAGACATTTCCTTTAGCAAAATATGCATCCTTCTCACCACTGCATTTGGTCTAAAGAAATGTTTCAGTCAAAAGCCACTGTCACTATATCTTTTCTCACAAAGCATGAAACCATGGATTTACATGCTTGAGTGATTATGCCACCCGCAAAGACACTTTATTGGAAATCCCCGTTATCAAAAGAATGCAAGAAACTTATCTCTTAAATAAACCCACTATATTTCCATAAAACTGCTGCAACAAGGGATATGTGTAATGAACAGGCATCCTACGACTTGACTGGATGTGCATGCTACAGCACTTTGTAAAGAGAAGATACAACAGAAATTTACAATGTGTGTGTACACTGATGGTTAGTCCATGAAATGTTCCCTCCCATCTTTATGTACTTATCTATTTCAGAACACAAGCCTGACATGCTAACAGATATTTTTGGCTTTCATGATTCTACACTTTGGCTCTCCTCAGCTAACATTCTTCTGTCGCAATCAGCATCTATTATGTATTAACTACACAGTTTTACTGCACACGTTGATTGTAAAATACTGCACAGTGAACAGTTCAGAATAAATAGCGTCTGAAAGCATTTTATTTTTTAATGTGTCATCTTAAAGATCTGCCCTGATCCATTCTTCCATACATGAAGATAAGCAGAAGTAGGAAAAGGAGGATTCTGCTGTGTGTAATCTTCCACAATACATGCTGCAGCTTCCTCAAACAAATGGGAGCTGCTGAAGTGCTTTCCATGAAATGGCAAGTGATTTATTTCACATTTCCAATAGATATTTTCTTCAAAGTGCCTCTGAGATTTAGTGGGAGGGGGACACTTCTTTCCTTGTGACTCATCTACTGTGAATCTCTCTTTCATGTAACTATGTCAGTAGTAAAAAGTGATACTCAATGAAGGAATATGAAGGCTGACAAGATCATATCCACTGTTATGCTCACTGGAAGACAGACCTGGCCCTAGAAACAGCCAAACTGCACAGAAGAATGTGACACATCTCTTTGCTGCTTCCATTACAGAGGGGTCATGTAGTCCTCAGCATCAGATAGGTACTGATAGATTAAGCACGTGGCTGTTACATATCTTGCTGTAAAACACAGAGTGCTAAGACTGAGAGCAATGGAAGCTCCTTGAACATGGTAATACTGCAGCAAAGGCAGGAGAGGAAAATGCTACCAGGATAGGTAACATTCCCCTCTAGAAGAACATTTCCACAAAATGGAGTAATTTATATACACCACTTCATTCCACGGTGGAGGTGATGGGATTTTCTGAGACAGCATGCACAATGATGTAATTGCAATATTACTGAAGCATTTATTCTGACTGACAATCACGGCTGTAACACACTGCTGGCTCATAAACCCTCTCAAATGCCTTTCACTTCAGCTACATCCACTGAATGCAAGGAAGAAACTTCATGTTGCATTCAGCTCCACAAACTCACTTGCCACAAATGATACTGAGGACTTGCAGTGGCACTAGATTTGCCCTACTGGCTGGCTCAGGGTCTCCAGTGGCTTACACCAGACAATACCAACTGTGCTGACAGGACACTTCTATGCCTGACCTTTTTAAAACTGAGCAAGCCTACTGGAACTGAATGGTCTGTCAATCATAACACTGTCTCTATGTTAACCAAAATATAGTGGAGCAACCAGCACTTACAGCATCACATTCATGGTGCTGACAATCACCCCCAGACTTTTTTCTTAATCTATAGAGAAGATTCATAACAAATTCTTTTATTAGACACTCAACAATCAATGTGATAATTACCCTAAATAGATACACAGGGTTAGATCCAACCAACTTTCTAGCTGGTGAAAAAAGGATGCTGAGGGGTTCCTTTTAACCACTGGAATCATAAGTCCTGCGTGGACAAAAGCTATGAGGGAAAGGGAATGCAATATGGATGGTAATTAAGGCTGGATTCGACCCATGAATTGTTGTTGCCTTAAACTACAAAAGATATTTCCTAATATTAGGCTTCATTCAAACCACAGTAAAATTAAAGATTATCAGCATACATATTCTCATGCACATTTTCCCGTCACCAGAATTAATCAGTTATACAACTGTTCTACAAATCCCATGAATTCCAGTAGAGCTTGGAGTAGTAAACTTTAAGACCAATTCTGTCCATATCATATAGTAGTATTTAAGCAACAGCATTTCCTAGTTTGTATCTAAATCAAAATACTGAATGCACAGGAACTAAAATAACCCATGCAACACGCACAGAGGACACCAGTCCCAACATAGTCAATGGGAATTAACAATCAAGGTGAAATTCCATTAGAAGACCACAAACGGACAGGATATATGAAGTACAATCCACATATGGTGAAAGTATCATCCTACTGCATGCAGGAAGTACACATGATTTTCTTATGAGCAAACCTTAGCGCCCCTCAGGTGACAACAGAGTGGATAGCAAGACACGATGCACAGACGCTTATTTCTGTTGTGTGGTTATGCAAATGTTTAGAGGGGGGCAAGAGGCAGTCTTTTTCTAGTTATTATGTTTTCAAGTCTTGAAACCCAGTGGGTGGCATGTTCTACTGTAACATTATCCTAATTAGAAGCATTTTAGTGGCAAGGCCTAGTGAAGCAAAGAAAACATTTACCTAGAGGATACATTTTCCTGACTCTTGTAAAACTTTAGTGCAGATTAACAACGTTTTTATATAAAAAGCCATAAAGGAAGAGTGTTCAAAAGATCCTGGCTTTACAATTTTATATCTTCAGGAAAAAATAAGCATAAACATGTCTATTTTCCGGGGAATTATATATATATATATATGTTGATGAAGAAATATATATATTTCTTCATCAAAACGTAAGGGGCAATGGAATGCTCATCTTTGGCAATGTAATGCTCATCTTTCTCTTTGGGTCCGGACTGTCCCAGGCATGCCTGATTTGTATATTCCTAATGGGGACAGGTGAAATTCTAGGATATAACCTTCTGAAGGCATGAATAAGAGACCGTTTAAAATAGCTGAACAAGAAGGTAAGGATGGGGGGGAGCGTTTTCCAAACCTGAGCTGCTACTCAAAAGGCTGCCAGGTTTCTCCCCCCCCCCCTTTTAAAAAACTGATTTGAACACAAAGGTCAAATAGATGAGAACAGGCTACCAAGATGCCTAACTTCACTCTTAGCTGAGCCTGCTAAAGCAATGTGTTCCCTATAATGTGAGGCCAAGATGTTTCATCAATTAAAAATTTGAATTATGCTGCATATCAAAATGAATGTGTGAATGGGTGGCGGCACATCTTGTTTAGAACTCTGAAACCCTGTGGACGGCAAAGCCATGCTGAACAAACATTTAAGTTCTTGAATCAATATTGCACATCTATGGAAGGAACCTCTAAAAATGCATTTTGTTTGCTATAGGACAGATGACTTACTCCTAGTATTCCTGAAATCTGTGGCTGTAGTCATACAAACCAAGCCAAGATCCCTGCCAAGACCAAGCATGTAACTATTGCAAAGCTGAGCAGAGTACAGAGAAATCTATTATAAACACTCTCCTGGCAACCCGTCACAGTTTAAAAGGGACATTTCAAGAAAAGCACATAGCTCATTAAACTCCATAATGTTTATTGCACAATGAGAGATTAATTGTGCCATTATATGCATTGACTCACACCTTTTTGAAAATAGTCAAAGGAGGATGTCATGCAAAATGTTTTGAAAAGAATTGTTGCTTGTCTTTCTTTGCATGCACATACACACACATAAACCCTTTTCAATGATATACAAGAATTTTAAACTTTTTCTCTCTCTAGCAAAATAGGCTTTACATAAAAATTTAAGTTTTCTGAAGCAAAGCACATGGATTTCATCACTGGTCGTATTCCCCTTATCATTCTAAGGCACTGGCAACAATGCCTAAGAAATAACGGTTAGAATTACACCCACTAACACAAAAAATATGCTAGTCAAAATAAAATGAAACTGACAAGAGCCTAGTGGAATATCAAAGAAACACTTCCTTGAAGTTCAGGTCAACTCTGGATTTAATATTTAATGAAAGAAAGCTATTGACTACCCCAGGAGTTCCCTGCTTCCTAGCGTATATCACTGAATATCAATTACCTACATTTAACTCCGGCTAAGACTTCACGTTTTCAAACCAGGACAAGATTTTCAATTCATTTTATCAGTTCTTTCCTCTGTTTTTGCAGCATTAAGTTAGAGATTTACACTGTGGGCTGTATCCAAGCTAGCTTTCAACATTGCAGTACTACATTGCTAAACACACACTTCTGAGCGCCAACATGTTTCTAGGATATGCCGCCAGCTCGGCTGCAAACCTGAGGAAGGATTTCATCAAAACTAAACTCTGCACAAATATTTAACTGCTCTCAGACCTCTAAAGGCTAAAACCCCCAACCATGCTTCACTTAGTGTGCTGGGCTGGCAGATGCAGAGAACTGGAATCTGCAGAAACAGTATTCAAGAAAAAACAGAGCCGGGTAAAGAAAGCATTGTTTCTCCTTTCTCGGAACCAAATGAAAGGCTTTCAATGGAAAAGCTAAAAATAGTTACACAGAGACTTAAGAATCCCAAATAGTGCAGCGATGGCTCGTACGTTATTACATTAAGTTTGCCTCCAACTTCCCACGCTTCACAACCCTTGCAGCGGATGACACACAGGTTCATTTACAGGAACGCAAGGGGGCTGGCAATCATCCCTCCTTATTATTAGTACCATGTAAACAGTTAAAAAAACTAAGCCACAAAGCAGGGAAACAGACATTATCTAAGACAATGGAATCCTCCTTTGCAACAGCGTGCGTTGTCTGGGCTGGCTTGTCAGCATTAGGTGAGCAAAATGTTCCGGCAGCTGCAAAACAATGTGAAAATCCTCACTTCGTAAGGATAAAAAAAGGAAGAGGTGAAGGAGAAGTAGAATGGCATCATCAGAGACTTACCAAAATACATTATGTTTCTCATTAATCATGCAGTCCGGATCCCACTGCTGTGTGTTCAGCATTAGCTCCCGCACCAAGCTGCTTGGAAAAGCAGAGCAAGCTCCTTTCATTCTACATGATGTGGAAATTTCCCAGTCTCGAAGAGAGCGAGGAGCAGTGTGAGCCTCCTTGGGATCAGGGCTTTGAAGGCAGTCTTATCCCCCGATACAATTCCTCTCTGATTTAGCATTGACGCTCTCGTTGCATGCTGCACTGCCCATTCTTACTGTAATCTGACTCCTCCTTGTGATGTCCTTGCTGTGCCTGTGACATCAGGACGAGGAGTACTACAAACACATTTCTTCCCTTATGGTCTTTCTTTCACTAGGCTTTGCTATTAACCAGGGTAGAAGTAACCCTGCCTCTTCCTGAATCTTTTAATAGCCTTCTACTATTGAGGGTATATTTCTTCCCCCCTTTCTTTCTTGGCATCAAATATAGTCAGTGACATAATGTGTTTGATTGCATGGGGAGGAGGGCAGGAGGAGAAAGACAAAGCTGGTATTGTTTTTCACCCTCTAGGGGTATGGTCCAGCAAAGTACTGAGTACACTGTGGTGCCAGAACCAGCTTCATGCTAATTAGGAAGGCAATGGGTATAATGTTCAATTTGCAAAGAAAGAGGTGCTGGGACTCAGACCTGCACAGGAGGTTTTATCCTGCTAGAGCTTCACTGTGTGACTGTGACAAGGCACTCTGCTTGTGGTCAGAGGCACGCTGTTCTCCAGCAAGAATGAAATGATAGGGAAAAAATTATATAGGGTGTGTATGTGTGATCCTGGAAAAGGTGCTATGGTGTTGGCAAAAGCTAACCCCGAAGAATATGTAATCCTAAAAGTGTAACTTAAAAAAAATCACAATAAAATAAGGAGCACCAAAAATTACAGTGTACCTTCCCAATAATAACTTCTGGGGAATACACACATTTTAAACCTTAACATTTCACATCATTTCTACTGGGTTCACATGAACAAAACCCATGTTTCCCTTCTTCTACTTAAAGCATAAAGAGAAAGGAAAAGGAGATTTACCATTTGAACAAGATTCTAAGCTTGCACAGGGTGCAGGCAGCATAGATATGCATATCTGGAGCAGATGACTGGTTGACTTGCCTGAGTGACAAATGTGACGTTTCAGGCCAGTTCACATATGAAGCACTATCGCAACTGGCATTTTGGGATGGGATGCGGGTAGGCTCCGAAGAAAGATAAAGAGAGATGCTCACATCCATTCTCTTTCCTGCTTCTAAGAAGAGATGCTCTGGGTCAGATTTGAGGCAAATTGACATGACAAAATGTGGAAAACTACACCCTTGATGTCTATACGGCATTGTTTTTCATTATGATCAATGTGAATTCCTTGGGCAGCAATAGAAGTTTCAGATAACAATAGAAAATAAGAGCCAGAATATTAAAAGTGAAAGGATGTGGTAGTGTTCATCTCTTTTAAATAGGATCTAATACGATGAATGCTTTACAACACTGGAAGAGTGTGGCAGCTCTAACACACTGGAAGCTCAACTCCTTTATCTTAAAAGCACCCATAAAACAAGCCTGGCTCCCGCATAGTTCTGCCTACCTAATGCACCAGTGAAAGGACTACAAACACCCTAGGAACAGGACAATTATAGAGTGTTAAGACTATATCAGCAGGGCTTTACAGTGCATCACATTACCACAGCCAGATTAAACGACTAAGAAGGGGAGGAGAAGAGCAAGTGACAATCACCATCTACCATATACCTCATATACAAATGCCAGGCTTCTAAAATCACAAGTGGCAGTGACACCATCCAAGATCAAAAGATGACTAACCATTGGAGACATAGATTCCGGTGGGTAGCTGTACTGGTTTGAAGCGGCAGAACAAAGTTTGAGTCCAGTGGCACCTTTGAGACCAACAAAGTTTTATTCAATGTATAAGCTTCTGTGTGCACGCACACTTGCCAATACTGAGATTAGGGTGGAATCTGTCCTTCAGTGTCCTCTGCAGGAATCTGCATATTCATTCACTGATGGAATTCTACCCTGCCCAGAGCCCATATACTGACTACAACTCTGGACCTTGAAAGAGAACTCTTCTAGCTAGTTCCACTACTTTGCACTGAAGCAATACCCACCCACAAGGTTTTTACAATTAATTTAGGTGTCCAACCTAGTGATCACAATGGTTCGTCCTTCAGTTAAGCAGTCATCAGTTTCAAAGCATCTCAAGTGTGGGGCAAACAATCTAAGATACTCTGATCCTCCAGGGCCTCAACAAAGTACAGAACACAAGCAGCCTGTTGTATTAATGTATTTCATTTAAAAACAATCCCACCTTTCTTCAAGGAAGTTTATAATTCACAAAAGAAGATATCCTCGACCCTTTTCTGCTCCTATAAATATGGACCAAGTATGTAGTTTGAGAATCAGCCAAAGTTTTATATATTTTTCTGTTGGAAGAAGACAGGTGGGAAAGGGAAAGTTGATTGCTCCCAACTATCATTCATCCTGTCATTGCATATAGGTAGAGTGTGGAGGCTCCTAATGCATCATATGATTCTATGATGACCTCTTTATTTCTTAGTTCTGGATTGTGTGCATATTTTGATTGCTTAGCATGATTGTATGCAGGGATATTCTCTAATAAAAGTACTGAACACTCTTTAAATCTGGAGTCTTCATACTGAACTGGACCTTGGTATATAGAGGCATGCAATCCCTTGTGCCCTTCTGGGCTCCTCTGTCTCATAGCTTATTTTACCCCCAATATTGAGACAGGCCACTTGTGGTAACAGTTTAATGGTAGAGGAATGTGGCCACACCCTGCATGTCTGAACGTGTGAGTGCACACACATGTCTTCAGTAGTGCAGATGTAGAGAAATATTTCAGTGGAAGCTCCAATTTGAGAGTGAGTGTGTGAACGAAGTTGTTGAGCACTTGGGTCTAGAGAGCAGAAATCTTTTGTGGGTGGTCTGCTCCCCTTTCATCTCCATCAGCTGCATCGATTGGGCACCATCTCCGTGCAAAAGGACTCAGCTCAGTTGAAAGCAAGGGGGCAATAGGATGAAGTGCTGGAAACCATATCTCGCTAGATTTCCCCGTTCCAAAGGTACATCTGGTTGAGATCCAAGGCCAGGGTCCAGCTAGGGAACACTGCAACTACATGCATGTAGGACACATATAAAACCCCTTGTAGTCTGTGTCCTTCCCCCCCACCCCCAATCCAGGGTGGGACAGGGAAGTCCTGTAAACGAAGCCCAGCACCCCCACAGTCAGGATAAAACTCTCCCTGTAGGAACTTCCTACAAAGTTCCAGTAGACAGCAGGGAACTGTTTATTTATTTATTTATTTATTTTATTTATTTTATTTAATTTATATCCCGCCCTCCCCACAATGCGGGCTCAGGGCGGCTTACAAGTGGCAAACGCCGATATAAAACAAATTTTAAAACATTTATAAGTCCCACAATACAAAAACATTCTTAGCAATTATTGACTAGAGTGCTCTATGAAATGGAAATGGACTAGAGTGCTCTAGATGTTCAACATAGTATCAGATGGCATTTTTTAAAAAACTGTTCAGCCTCACACACACACACACACACACACACACACACACACACACAAATACACATACTTTCCCACCTCCCAAAGTAAATTGCATCTGGTTTATATGTTCTGTTCTTAATAAATCAAGACTCTCCCTTATATATATAAAAGCCGAATGGTGGTGGCACAGTTTGCTTTTCCTCTCCCCCCCATAGCCAGTCAGAACACAGAGGCTATTTGCATAAGCAGCTTCATTGGCCTTTGCCAAGCCCCATGTAGAGAGCGTTGCAGTAGTCTAGCCTCGAGGTGACCGTCGCATGGATCACTGTGGCCAAGTCACCGCGGTCAAGGAAGGGGACCAGCTGCTGCACCAGCTGCAGGTGGTAAAAGGCTGACTTGGCAGTGGCTGCCACCTGGGCCTCCATAGATAACGAAGAGTCCAGGAGCACTCCCAAACTCCTATCCTCCGGCGCTGGCACCAAAGGCACCCCATCAAAGGTCGGGAGAGAGAGCCCTAACCCCAAACCACCGCAACTCAGGCCCAGGACCTCCGTCTTCGCCGGGTTTAACTTCAACCTGCTCAGTCGGAGCCAACCAGCCACGGCCTGCAAAGCCTTTGTAAAGAGACAGAGAAGTCTTTTAAGATCCCCCATGGGTCACTCCCACTGGTGGAAGAAATCAGTGGAGTTAGAGGCTCCTGTAGAGTTACTAAGTTGTTCCTGGACTGAGGAGTAGGTACCCCTCCCAGCCAAAAAATTCTGAGAGTGTGAGACTAAGATCTGCGCCCACTCTCTCATGAGATGCACGGAAGTGTCTTGCGAGTTTTTTTCTCCCAGTAGGCAAGAGTGCCAGGAAGATGCAGGCAGAGCCTTTAAATGGCAACGTAGAAGTGAAGCTAGGAGTGCTGGTCTCTTGAAGGGAATTTCCAAAATTGACTCATTGGTGGCAATGTACCAAAGGAGTATTGCAAGGAAAACGCCTTCCAACAATTGGGTGGGTGGACTTCGGAGAGCACAGCATCACTGGGTGGAGACTTGGGACTACCAGATACCTTTGAAAGCTGAAATGGAATGGGATTCATGGGTCAGCAGGGCCGTTCCATGACACTCATATTCCTACTAACTATTATCAAATCTGCTACCTGATACAGATCTGGATGGTCCACAGCAGCTACTGCTATCACCCAAATGTAGATATTGGAAAAGGGCATACTGCCCTTACTACTACACAAGACAATTGTTACCCTCAAACCCAAACCCTGGGAAGCACAAGGGCAGTACACAATCCATCCCTTTATACACTGGACTAGATTAGATACTATACTGTAAAATTTGGGCTCCTTATCTCTGGCTAACTTTTGGCTAACCCTCCCACAATTATTCAGGACAAGACTGAATATGTTGAATTGAAAAGATATACTAATGGCTTATTTTTCAAAGTGCTTCACACCTCCCTTATAAATAAAAGCCGAATGATGGTGGCACTTCTCTAGAACATTCCACACGCTCCAAAATCAGCTCGCTCTCTGATCTGTCATTCAGAGGGTCTCCCTATCCACTGGCTGCTTTGCC